GCTCGGTCTTTCATTTCTGTCCTCTGTGTCCTTCTTGTGTCCTGCCAGCATGGCCTGCACCTCTGTGCTTGTTTTATTTTTATTGTACTGATTTTCGGTGTCCTGCTGGCTGACATTTTACCCTCTGTTTCCTTTCTTTCTCTGTGTGTGTCTTCCCCATGTGCACCACATGCCCTGGCTCAGTCTCTGGGACGCGCCTCCTACCTGTTTTGTGATTTGGGAGTGAGCAATTTTCTAGTTTTTTTGAAAGTGGAATTGACTTTTTTGTTCCTTATTTCCCTTTTTTGTTTGGAATGATTCCAGCAAGAGTGAGGAAAGGATGGCTTATGTTCCTTTCTATAATTCCTCTTAAGCACGTGCTTGAATCGGAATTTTTCTTTCAGGATTTGCATCTCCAGGGGAATGTTTCCATGTCATTTTCCACTCTGCTGATTCTGACCTAAGTCTTGTCTGTCTGTTCTTCAGGCCCCTGCTAAGGTTTGGTTTTTGAGCTCATCTCTGCAATGTCTAATTGGTTGGTTGTGTGGGGCGGAGTTTTAAAGTCTCTTCTCTTATTGTCTGAATGCATCGACTTGGACATCTTTTTGGGGGTGTGTTTGTCATTCCCCTGTCTATGTTGTACCACATGTGCTCTGTGCACTAAGGGTGAATTTCTCATTTTCCAGACTGGGGTCTCTGTTTCAGGAGTTTGATTGAAGTGTCTGGTCATTCTTAGTTGTCTGTGGAGTTTTGTAGTTGTCCCTTTTCGGGCAGTACAGGTTTCATTGTCTCTTTTGAAGACCACTGTTTGCTCTTCCCAGGCGGCGTCCCTTCTGAGAGGAACAGCTGACTGGCTGCAGGACTGTGGGGAGTGAATAGGGCCTTGGTGATGAGAGACATGATGGCAGCCCATTCTCCTTGCTGGGCATGAGCTAGCACAGTGCACACAAGTGAGAGGACAGGGAGCCTGAAGGCGCATCCGTGAGGAGGACCGAAGGGAGGGGCCTGAGCTGCTGCTGAGACCCAACTGCTGAGCTGAGCTCCCTTCCTGTTTGGCTCTTTCCCTGATGCTGGGAGAAAGATATGGAATGAAAATAGGTATGGTAATGGCCACACCCCTGGAATGTATCAGACTAATATATCGTATAGTGGGGCCGACCACTTGAGTGTGAACAGATCACAGGAGGGCCACTTGAGACTTGGCTTTCTCCTCCCCAGTTTTGGAACTCTTCTTTCCAGACTAAAGGTGGGAGGGCCAGACCGCCCATGAGCATATCGCCCATGAGCATATTCAAGCCTGCATCAGTTGGGGTCCAGGCAGGAGAGAGAACTGCACCAGTAGTTGGAACAGGGAGAATTGTAAGAGATCATCACTGACTGGTAGTGGGAAGACTCAAGAATTCAAGGGTAGCAGTTGTACAAAGCAACACTACCTCCAGAGCTGAGGGAGAGCCCCAGGAAGGAACAAGCCTGCAAGAGCCTGCTTGCCCATGGAGGACTTTCAGCCCCGGTGTGCTGGGAAGTTCACCGAGGTGGACCTCAGGGAGGGCTGGCCGAACTGTACACTCTGGCAAGGCAGCCACCTGCTAGCAGCCAGGCCACAACAGCAGGGAGGCCAGAATCCCCCATGCAGAAAGAGGAGCCCCTGCTGGCAGTTGCATCTGTGTCACCTGTGACAGGACTGGAGAAATGTTTACAGGGGCTGGCTCCACTGTCACACAGCAGAACAAAGAAGGGTGGATTGGGAGGGGAGAGGCAACTCCCAAATTAACAGACTCCCCCTCGGGGACCTTCAGTTGTATCGTTTCCTCAGTCGTGTAAGCACAGCTGAGAGAACTGGGGCACCAGGGCTGTGCCCACTCGTTGTGTGCCCCTTCTCTTGTGGGGAGTGTGTGAACACAGTATACCTTCCAGTTTAGAGCCCCTTCCTTGACAGGCAAAAGGAGCAGGTACATGCTTGTGCTCTGAGACACAGCCCTCGTCCTTATGGCTCCAGGTGTATTTGGGGTCGACTTTGGTGTGCAGTGTCTGAGGAACCTATGAGGACCTCAGATGTGAAAGGGTGCCAGAACGAGGGCGAAATCTCCGTTTAAATGGCTGGTGACCTTTTGAGAAATCCAGACTGAGTGCAGCTTCCATTTCCTGTGGGCCCTCTCAGGAGTCTCTGCACAGAATGATATTCTAAAGGGAATCTGGGCTTGCTTGATCTCATTGCTGAACAAGAAAAGCCTTCAGGAATGATGCTTGCTAGATATGAATAGGCGTAGGCACCCAGATAGATGGAGGGTTATAATTTGGCAAAAGATCTGGAAATGGGTGCATGAAACAAACAAGCTGAGGATGAAATCAAGCTCTTTGGAGAATTTTCCCACAGTGCTCAGACAAAGAATAAAGAAGTACTTTGTTGGCCAGGCTTTTGCAGCCTGTTTTCCTCAAGACAAAATCCTTGCTGGTATCTTTGTAGATGGGAATTGTTAACAACATGCTTTATGTCCTCACTTTAATGCTGAGACCAACGGGAAGGATGGAAACTTTGAACAGAAAGTCGTGTTTTTTAACCTCTATTTTGTATATTTTATTCTTAACAGTGCTTCTCTTCCAGCCCAGTGCTGGGGGCCCAGGTGTGGTCTGGGGGCTTGTTTCTCTCGGAGGGGAAGCAGGTTGTGATGCAGGTGTGCTTTTTCCTTCCATTTTGAGACTCTCTGATGGCAGGTTGTTTTCAGTGGCCTTGGAATGAGGGCCTGTGAGCCTGGTGAGCGACATCCCATTTCAGTTTCGAGCAGCCCTTGTTCCTTTGACCATTTGTGGCTCTGGGAGTACAAGGTGGGGATTACAGCCCACTGATGGGGATTTCTGTATCTTTATGACCAGAAGGGGAATTTTCAGTGGAGAAGATGTGAAAGGGTAGAAATGGACAAATGTTAAGATCCACACAACCCTGAGAAGAAGCTGATGGTAACATTTACCATCCTGCTCATGGGCCATCCAGAGAAGTTAGTGGCTGCACCCTTGACAACAGTGTTTTGGCTAGTGTTGAAATTCTCTGGAAGTTTGATATCTTTAAAATGCATTATGGAAAAGGTAGTGAATCTGTATGTTTTTGTCTGTGTTGAGAGGAGATGCAGATTAGGAGTGCTCCTGTCGTGGAGGGAAGCTCTCACCTGTCTGTCTCATTCCAGGCAGCGGAGATGACATCCTCCTCTTAGACATTACTAAGGAAAGCTTCACCCCCACTTTCCCAGAGCCTGTCCTAGGCTGAGGGGCACTTGGGGGACATGTGCCCTCCATGCACAGCTGGGGCGCATCTCCTGCTGCTGCTGTAATGGGCTGTGTGCAAACAGTGGGCAGTGGTTTTGGATGTGGTGCCACCGCGGGCCGAGTGTGTGCTGGCGTCTTCACACATCCATCCAGTACATCCTCTTAGGAAGCTCTCAGGTGAGGGTGGCACTTACTGTTTGGACCAGGAAAGTCTGGCCCTGCATTCCTGAGCAGAAAGCCAGGACTCCAGCCCAGGCCAGCCCAGTTCCACACCCTATGCACTGGCAACTATGTGACAAAAGTGTCCTTCATAACAAAACTGAAAAGCTAGGAGGTCTCCTGAGAAGAACCTGGCCCCTCTTCCACTTTGAGTGGAGAATGACCAACCCTCCAGTCACATGGTTGCTTATGCTGTGTTGGAAGTGATCAGGCAATGGAACGAAAGGTGATAGATAAGGTGAGAAACAATAGTGAGTATGCTCTGTGACATACATTTCATACTCTTGACCATCAAAACTTCCTTCTGTTGAGCTAAAATCTGAACTGCCTTGGAGGAAAGACCTGCCATCTGCTTCCAAAAAAATCACAGCCATCGAGAACCCTGTAGAGCTGTGGAAATGGCAAGTGTGGGAGGGCGCATGTGACCGCCTCTGACTTCACAAGGGGAAGAGAAGATCACCATCAGCAGCCCGAGGCTGGTTCCTAGGAGGCAGAGGTCAGACATGCCTCCACCCTTCAGCCTTTTTACCGATTCTGACATCAACCATCCCTCCCACAGCACCCTGTACTTCTCTGCTGGGTTTGATAATTCATTGCAGTGGCCACACAGGACTCCTAGATAGTACTCACAATTACAGGGTTTATTAGGGAAGTAACAGGATGCAACTCAGGGTCAGGATCACATTAGAAGTAACAAGAACAACTCAGAATATACCTCACTGCACAAGGATGCCGTGAACTTTATTTGCACTATTGGCATGCTGGTCTAACCTCCTTAGTGGCCAAAAGCACCTCATTTGCACAGCCCCACTCAGTTGTTTGGTGGGAGTTACAAAGGCTATGTCTAGAAGGGCCACCACACAGGAGCAGTTCGGCTCTTAAACGTGTGGAACCTTAACAGGGGGTTTTGCCATCCTGTTAGGCTTCAGATCAGCCATCCCAGAGGCAGAAGAGGGGGCTTGAGTACCACTAAGAAGAAACAGGAACGGAATGCATCCTTTGGACCCTGGGTCCCTGGGCTGGGAACCTCCTAGACCCAGGAGACAGAAAGAGCTGTAACATGAAAGACAGTGAGAGACGGAGGTGAGATGCTGTGGCAGAGAAACGGCAGCAGCTGAGGCACCAGAGCCAGAAGACTGGTGATAGGAGACAGTGTGATAGGCTTTCTGGCCCATGGAGCAAGAAAGCTGAGCATCTTCAGGCAGGAGGCTTGCTGGAGGAGTGGGGTGCCTCTGGGCACTTGGCAGAGCTAGGCTCCCTGACCCAGGGAGCTAAGAGTTGTAACACTTGCCCAGAAGACCTTAAGCAGGGCCCAGCAGAGGGTAAGAGGAGGCTGTCCTTTGCCGTCCATCTTAGCATAAATGCCTCACACACACTCATCTATTTTCTTGGTGATCTTTTGTAAATCTCATTGGTACCTGGAAGGCAAAGAGAAGCAAGAAATTCAGTACAGTAAGGTTTTCTACATGGAAAGTGGTTTTCACCTGCCTTTGTTGTATAGCATCCTTCACCTCTCACTGTGCCTTTTGTCATCTGTCTTGTAGCCTAAATGCCAGGGCCAGCTGTTGCTGACTCAAGTATGGACACGGCTGAACTTGACAGAGTCTGACTACTTCGGGCTGGAGTTCCAAAACGTGCAGTCGTACTGGGTACGTGAGGCTGCTGGCCTGCTGTAGAGGCAGGGACAGAGCCGCCCCTGGGACCTGCGGTCGTGGAGGGAGGAGCTTCTTGCCTGGCACTGCACCACTGACTGTCACAGCTGCCAGGCAGTGTTGCATTACAGACATGGGGAAGATACGTGCCTTTCTCTGAGCCAGCATGCACCTCCTCCCTGCATCTGTCCCTCAGCACTAATGCCACCTCCAGTACACCTGAAAGGGGACCCAAAACAAATGGTGCCACCAGGCAGGGGTGGCTCATCTCACACGTAGGATGTCACCTTGCAAGTGCAGAGCTTGCATCTTTACAATGCTTCACAGCCTGTGAGCTCGTCTGGCATCATCTGGTGCTCAGGGACACTCAGGTCTCAGAGCCATGGCCCTACACCAGCACAGCACTCTGTGCAATAGCCACTGGTCAGTATGCTCTTTACAAATGCAGTTACCCGAGGTATTAGCAAACAATAAAGTTCCAAACAATAAAGTCTCTTAAAAAACATGAACAAGAATATATTTTAATTGCTAGTGCCCATTCTAGGAGCTCTGGTAGTGTAGTGCCTAAGGCACTTGACTGCTAACCAGAAGGCTGGCAGTTCAAACCCACCAGCCACTCCTCGGAAGGAAGATGGGGCAATCTACTTTCGTAGTGATACTGCCTCAGAAACCTAAGAAGGGGTCGCTATGAGTTGGGGCCGACTCAACGGCACATAAAAACAACAACAGTGCCCATTCTGGCCCTGCAAACGTGCCTCTGCATGGTTCGTGGTGGGGTGCATGCTAGGACCCAGCACGGGGGTCTTGCCGCCTCCCCAGGCTGCTGCAATACCTAAGAGGGTGGGGTGAGGGCAGGAGTGTTCCCACAGCAAATGTTCCTCTGAACTGGAAGTACTTTTGTATTTTGTGATGTTTGTTAAACAAAAATGTTTTAGTAGACTCGATCTTATCTCTTCCATCCTTTTTAGGTCTGGCTTGAACCGATGAAGCCCATCATTAGGCAAGTGCGAAGTGAGTCCTTTTTAACTTTATCACTCTGTTCCTTTAAGCAGTTTTGTTCTTGAATGCTCAGATCCCAGGCGTGTTCCACATCTTCATCAAACCACTCTGGGAGACAACAGTGAGGCACTCGTCACAGCAGATAAACTTGGACATGGCTTTGCTGTTTCATTTGAAACTGTGATAGGAGAAGGGCAGTCAGTTTACCTCAGATGGTTCTGGTACCACCTGCATATGCTGTTTGATACCAGCTTAATGTTCCCCATAGGCAAAAATTCGTGTGTGGTTTTTCTTCAGCTAATGAAAGAGATGTTTTTGAAAGGGGAGGAAACACTGCAAAAATCAACTAAATAAAAGAACAAAAAAAAAGAAACATTTTTGATGAAATAGTTGATACTGTCCTATAGTTATACACATAATTGTAAACAACAATTTGTTATTCTCTGCTTAATTTTTGAATTGATGACTACAGTAGTGATTCTTAGCCTTATGGGAGATGTCTCTAGTTACCAGCATTTACCCATGACCTTGACAGTGAGCTGGGGGAAAGTTAATTGCACAGTTAATTGCTGTGCACCTTTAGCGAAGGCAGGGCCAGTTCAGGTACCATGCCTGTTAGCCAAGTAGCTCCCTGTTGCTTTGAGAAAATCACACAGCTGTGTTGTTATAAAATCCACTAAAGCTAAGATGCTGTCTTCAGCTCCGCTAAGAAATCTTCTGCCTTTTCTTTACTGTAATTAGAGTGCTCTGATTCAGTGCCTAGAGCTATATGCAGATGCATATGCCAAAATATGTAAGGACTTTGAAAACAATCTTACTACTACTACTACTGCTACTGGTACAGAGGAGCTCTGGTGGTGCAGTGGGTAAACACCTGACTGCTAACTGAAAGGTTGGTGGTTTAAATCCACCAGCCGCTCTGCAGGAGAAACACAAGACAGTCTGCTTCCATAAAGATTTATAGCCTTGGAAACGTATGGGGTCACTATGAGTTGGAATTGACTTGATGGCAGTTTGTGGGGTTTATGTTTTTCACTAATAGTGTATTTATTTATATTTATTATCCTGTAATCCTGAACCTGAACAGGAGTAGAGCATAGAGCATTTTCAGGGCTGTGACAGTGTTGTATGGGGTTCTGGGAAGGTGGACGTGATTAATCTATCACAGCCCACAGGCCTATACAGCACTGAGAGTAAACCCTCATGTCAGCAGTGCACGCTGGCTTATAATAACGTGTCATTACCTGCTCATCTTTTGTAACAAAGAGACCCCAGGAAAGCAGGTGCTGATGATGGGGGAGACCCTGTGCACAGAAGTCGCAGCCAGGACCCATGTCTACTTACTTTACAGCTTTTCTAAAACCTGAAACTGTTCCAAAAAACAAAGTATTTTGAAAAATATGGACAAGAATATGTTTTAAAATTTTCTGCTTGTTTGTAGGGTTTTCTTGAGTAATATTATCTGCTTGGTACTTGCTGTGTGTGATGGGTACTTAGGACTGATCATGCCGTACCTAGGAGATACCGCAATACCTTACTTAAAAAGATCTGCAGTGCATTTGAAAGCGCTCACTCAGATACACCATCATCTGTGGAATGTGGAAGTACAGGGGTTGACTTCCTTTATAAAGTTTAAATTGTCTGTTGTTACAGGGCCAAAGAATACATTGCTTCGCCTAGCCGTGAAGTTTTTCCCACCTGACCCGGGTCAGTTGCAAGAAGAATACACAAGGTAAAGAGTGTGTGTGAGCTGGCGTCACGTGCACAGGGGTCTTGTAGCTGCCTTTTACTGCGCACAGTGCCTGGCTCATCAAGAGCTCAGGGCATGCTTGAGGGAAGATTGAATGAGCCTTGTGTGTAGGAAAAGTTGTCACAGAGAGTAGGTAGAAGAGAGTCTCACTGTTGACTCTTGAACGGGGAGAAATGCAAGTAGGACTGAGAAGAAGGTTGCGGTCCGATCTGAAAAGTGAAAACAGTGGGCCGTTAGGGTGTGTGCACTATGGCCCTCCCAGTGAAACCAGATTTCCACGTACACATGATGTTCTTGGGAGTCGGTATGAACTTCTTTATCAGCAAAATGAGCTTAGTGGGAAGAAGGACTAAGAACAGAAATATGTAGGTGTGGTCTTTGGTGCTGCTATTTTGAATTCAAGATGGATTCTTTGCAAAAGTAGTTGAAAGAAAATGTTAATGTTTCTTTCATCTTGTCAGTAGTAGGATCGTGGAATTTTTTTTTCTTTGTATTATGTACTCCTACATGTATCAATTTTATAGAATAAACCCAAGGTCACAAGTAAGATGGGAGAGAACAATGATGTGAAGGCAGTGGCCATGGTGCTGAAGGTGTGGAGGTGGTGCTGCTGGTGATGGTGCAGTGGTGGCAGTGACAGTGGCTACAGTAGTGTGGTGGTGGCATGCTGGTGCTGGGGGCAGCGCTGGCAGTGGCGGTGGCGGTGGTGGTGGAGTGCTGGTGATGGTGGCCGTGCTGGCGGTGGTGATGGTGGAGTACTGGTTCTGGCAGTGCTGGTGGTCGCACCTATGGCAGTGCTGGTGGTCGCACCTATGGCAGTGCTGGGGGTCGCACCTATGGCAGTGCTGGGGGTCGCAGCTGCAGCAGCAGTGTTGGCAGCAGTGGCAGTGCTGGGGGTGGTGACTTTTCAGCCTAAAACTGGATCCACAGGCGGGTCTTAGATGTCGTGTGAGCTGTGCTTTAAAAGGTCTCTGCAGGTCGTTTGGACACCACAGAACACAGGTGTCAGCTGAGGACAGTGATCACAACAACTCGGCCAGTGAGGAGACCGCATGCCAAGGACATCAGACATGCTTTCACGAGGGAACTCAGCTTCTCCTAAAAGCGCACGAATGACTGACATTTAAGAAAAGGTCCCCTTACACGCCCTGGAGAGAACAATCATGGGAGAAGGAAGGGCTGCTTATGCACAGGGAGATAGCTCAGGGTGCAGAAGAGTATGAAGGGATGGACGCTGGGAGGAGGTAACTATGGGGAGGAAGTGGGAGGGGAGCTGCTGCATTGTAAATTTTGGTCAATGACATGAGACAAAGTATATGTGAACTGCTGTATGAAAAGTGAATTTACTCTGTAAATCTTCACCCAAATCCTAATAAAAAAAAAAAGAAAAAGAAAAGGTCCCCTTTTAGATATACATGCCTGGGCAATGATGGGGCACCAGGAACGTTCGCCAGCCAGGGTCCTGGGATCGAGTCTTAGGACCTGTTCTGGGGAGTCAGCTTTACAGTTAGCCCTTCCTCATTTTTGTTACAAGATTTTTTTTTTTTTCTTTTTTTCTTTTTTTTTTTTTCATGAGACAGTACATGTTGTGGTAAAATTAAAAATGTAAACCTAGAACTTTGAAGGGTGAAAGTTGCAAGTGTCCCTTCACTGTCTGCACACCCACCCTTCCCGGCCAGGAGCGTCTTTTCCAGATGAATCTACAGCAGTGCATGCAGATGTAGCATTTGAAGCAATCAGGACAGCAGCAAACTCTGTATTCAACTGTAGGCCAACTGTAGGTTGATGGTGTTTTCTCCTCTGCTTACTACCATGCCGTGGATATCTGTCCATATTCGTCTATGTGGCTGTCCCCTGTGTTACTTAGATGATTTCTGATGCTACCAGTAACCATTTTGGTCATAGCTCTTTGTGAGATCAAGGGAGCGTTTCTGCAGTAAGGAGTCATAGAAGTAGACTTGCCAAGTTAGGGTGTGCTGCATTTTCAGTTTTCAGAGAATGTCCTAAAATGTTAGTAGCTTGCATTAGTATATGAAGTCCAAGGAGAGCAGGGAGTCTGTCTCATACAATGCTGGGTTTTTAGCTCCGGGAACAGTACCTGGTGTATAAAAATGCTCAGAAATTATTTGTTGAGGGAATCAATAGATATATATGTGATTTGCAGATTGCTTCTCTAGTTATTTTCATCAGTGGTGTCCATGAGTGCCTGTTTGTCAGCTTCTAGCCCAGACCAAATATTATCCATCTGTTTAGAAATGTTATAGCCAGATTTTCAACTGTCTTAATTGGATAATTATGCTATATTTTCCAGAATTGTGAGTGCAGTTTTGCATGTGTAACAGAAATAATAAGAGTTTATGAACTTCCTCCTCAAAGGTGTTGCTACAGATAGGACAATGCTGTGGGTATATGGGTGCCTGGTAAGACTGACGTCTGTTTTTATTGTCAGCACTTGGATGCTGCTTGTGTGCCAAGCACTCTTTGTGCACTGTCTGATGGGTGTGACTTGGGTGCCAGGCACTCTGTGTGTACTGTCTGGTGAGTGTGACTTTGGTGCCAGGAGCTCTGTGTGTACTGACTGATGGCTGTAACTAGGGTTCTGGACACTGCGCACACAGTCTGATGGGGGTGACTTGGGTGCTGGATGCTCTGTGTGCAGTGACTGATGGGTGTGATTTTGGTGCCAGACGTTCTGTGCACACTGTTTGATGCCTGTGACTTGGGTGGTGGGTGCTCTGTATGTACTGTCTGATGGGTGTGACTTGGGTGCCAGATGTTCTGTGCATCCTGTCTGATGGGTGTGAGTTGGGTGCCAAGCATTCTGTGTGTACTGTCTGATGGATGTGACTTGTATGCTGAGTACTGTGCACACAGTCTGACAGGTGAGACTTGGGTGCCAGGTGCTCTGTGCGCACTGTCTGATGGGTGTGACTGGGGTGCCGGGCACTCTCTGTGCACTGTCTGACAGTTGTGACTTGGGTGCCAGGTGCTCTGTGTGCCCTCACTGATGAGTGTAACAGGTGAGTGCTGTGTGTGCACTATCTGACAGGTGTGACTTGGGTGCTGAGTGCTATGTCTGCACTGTCTGATGGGGGTGACTTGGGTACCGGGCTCTCTGTGTGTACTGTCTGATGGGGGTGACTTGGGTACCGGGCTCTCTGTGTGTACTGTCTGATGGGTGTGACTTGGGTGCCAGGCTCTCTGTATGCACTGTCTGATGGGTGTGACTTGGGTGCTGAGTGCTGTGTGTGCACTGTCTGATGGGTGTGACGTGGGTACTGAGTGCTATGTCCACACTGTCTGATGGGGGTGACTCATCTCTGTTGAAATTATTTGCCATTTGACCCTTGCTTGGTTGGTAGCTGCTGTGACATGAAAGGCCTTTTGTGACTATGCATTCAGGCACCTGTGCTCCATGAGTGCTGCCTGTCTTGGGGCTTTGTGGTCCTGTTCCAGGGGACTGTCACCTTGGAGCTGATTTGTCATACTTTCACCCTACTCCTAGGTACCTGTTTGCCCTGCAACTCAAGAGGGACTTGCTGGAGGGGCGGCTGATGTGCAGCACCACCACTGCAGCTCTCCTTGCGTCTCATCTCCTGCAGTGTCAGTATCTCCTGCGGCACAGTGACATCACAGGCTGGCAAGCTCAGCGCCCGTGTAGTTGAGAGCAGGTCAAAGAGTGGGTGCTTCCTCACACAGGTGTTAGGAACTTCTGTGATGTGGAGCTCCTCCTGGCAGATGTCTCCAATAGCAGAGGCAGCGGTGGCCGCCAAAACCTGCAGCCACGTTGTCTACGTGGGCACTCCAGTGTGCGCCCTCCAGCACATACCCAAGTCACACCCAGCAGTCCAGTTTCAGTCTCTGACCAATCTGAGGTTCTGCACCCCCTGTAGGTACTCTCCCTCTAGGGAGAGCTGAGTCTGCTCTGACTAGCTCCCACAGAGTGCCATGGCTGTGCGGGGCTTGGGGCCCTCAGCTCCCAGAGATTTGCCTGAGGGTTCCCAGGTCAGCAGGCCGCTTTGCAGTGTGTTCTTCAGAGCTACTGCTGGGGAGTGGCCCAGAGTGGAGATTCAGTGCATGTTCGTTGGACTTTATGTCACAGGAGCTTTTCCATCTGGAACCTTCCCTTAGCAGTGCCACTCGGACTGAGGGAGACTGAGAGGACAGGACAGCTGAGAGCAGGTCAGGGCTCCACCCTGGCCCCCTGCTATAGGAGGTATCCCTGGGTAGGGGAAAGCTGGTAGGACCAAGGCACAGGCAGGGAGCAGCTGACCAGCCTGTGTGGGTGCTGGGTGATGTGAGTTAGCAAGCACCCTGTGTCCAGGGAGCACCCTGCTGATGCTTCCCTCCCAGACAGCGCTGCAGGGCTCGTGGGCTGGCCACTCTTCCACAGATTTGAGGTTGTGAAAAGCAGTATGTTGCTTAGAATCATCATGTAACATCATGTTACTGTTTTTAAAACATTTGCAACCCTAAAATACAAGAAATTAAAAAGAGATGTTTCTAAAGGAAACATGATTTAAAATAGTTATTCTGAGACAAGTAAAATGACTCGCCCTCATTGTGTGGTGCTAAGACAGCGCACACGTGAGGTGTTTACACAAAGTCTGTCTGCATGCATATCAGAGCCATCATGTGGTCCTGAGACAGCGCATGTCTGAGGTATTTTCACACAACCGGCACATACACATGTCAGACCTGTCAAGGGTCCTGAGACAGTGCATGTCTGAAGTATTCTTACACAGTCGGTCTGCACACATGTCAGACCTGTCACAGGGTCCTGAGACAGTGCATGTCCGAGGTTTTTTCACACAGCTGGTCCATACACATGTCAGACCCATCACGGGGTCCTGAGACAGTGCATGTTTGAGGTATTTTCACAAAATCGGTCTGCACACATGTCAGACCCATCATAGGGTCATGAGACAACGCATGTCTGAGGTGTTTTCACAAAATCGGTCTCCACATATGTCAGACCCATCACGTGGTCTTGAGACAGCACATGTCTGAGGTATTTTCACAAAATCAGTTCATACACGTCAGATCTGTCATGGGTCCTGAGACAACGCATTTCTGGGGTATTCTCACAAAATCGGTCTGCACACATGTCAGACCCATCACGGGGTCTTGAGACAGCACACATATGAAGTGTTTTCATAGTCGGTCCATGACAGATCTGTCATGTCATCCTGAGACAGCACACATGTGAAGGTGTTCACAGTCAGTCTGCACACACATCAGACTTGAGGTATGGTCGGTTACCTGGAGTCACTCCCAGGCCTAGTTCTTCAGAATCAAAAATTCTTCACACCTGCTTTTGTGTTACCCTGAATTGCCTTTTTAATGGCAGAAAATATTTGGAAAAAGTAAAACTCAAAATCTTGGGTTTTTAGGGATAGGTTTATTTTACTATACACCTGGGACAGTTTTTTTTTTACTTTTGCTTATGTGTTTACATTACAAACACTTATATTCTACTTCACTGAAATACTGGAAGTACTGACTTCATTGTCCATCTCAGCGGAAATAGGAGACTATGATGAAACTCTAGACCGAGAGCACCTCAAAGCCAACGAGTACCTGCCTGACCAGCTGCACTCCCTGGAGAAGGTGCTGGAATTCCATCGGAAGCACACGTGAGTCCATTTGAGTGGATGGCAGGCATGTTGTCACTGCTTTCATAACGGCACATTCACCCAAGGGACAGGGTGACTGAAGGCCAGTGCTGGGGCTTCTGCAAGCATAGCCAGAGTGACAGTCTTGGGACATGAGCTGCCCTGTCATGGCCCAACTAGAAAAGGCCCCAGGGATCAGGGGCAGATCCCCAGGAGCAGAACTAATGGCCATCCGCAGTGGCCCTTACACACTCATGACTAAACAGTAAGGCATGTTTCCTGTAATGTGAGTAGTGCTGTACAGGTAACTGCAGACAGCACCTAGTGGGGTCTAGAGTGGCGTGGAGCACTCTGCTGATGTCACCAGCATCTGCTGCACCAGGGGCCTTGCTGCTCCTGCCTGCAGCTGTGTTCTGTGACTTGCCACGTGCTCTTGTCCAAACTAGTTCATCCAAGTGTTGTCTGGATTGCAGGGAAGGCAGCTTCAGGAGGGAGGCCTGCAAGAGGGGGAGAGGGGACTGTCAGAAGAGGAGGGGCCAGAAGGAGGGGTGGGGATTGAGGGGGGCTATGGAAAGAGGAGGGGCCCGGAGGAGGGGGTGGGGATTGAGGGGGGCTGTAGAAAGAGGAGGGGCCTGGAGGAGGGGTGGTGATTGAGGAGGGCTGTCAGAAGAGGAGGGACCTGGAGGAGGGGTGGCGATTGAGGGGGGCTGTCAGAAGAGGAGGGGCCTGGAGGAGGCAGAGAGAAGCTGGAGAGACAGATTTAGGAAGGACACAGGGAGAGCCAGGTGGGAGCTTGTGGCACAGGTGCTCATGAGGGTCTCAGCACCAGGACACAGGTTCTTCTGGTGATCTGCCTGCTCTTACCCGGGGGCCTCTTGAGAGGCAAGCGGCTGGTGTACCATCTCTCAGGGGTGTCCTTCCTGAAGCCACAGCTGATAGGTCTCTGTGTGTGCCCTTCTGTGTGTGATAAATGAACTTAGGGACTTAGGACCCACCAGCCCTCTTGCTCCCTTTGTCTGTGGCCTGATCACCGTGTGCTGCCTCTGGCTCCTGTCAGGCTCAGGTTCTGTCCACAGTGGGTCATGTGCTCTCATTGCAGGGGCCAGACGCCAGCAGAGTCAGACTTCCAGGTGCTGGAAATTGCTCGGAAGCTGGAGGTGTATGGCATCAGGTTTCACGAGGCTTCCGACAGGGAGGGGACCAAGATTAACCTGGCCGTTTCCCACATGGGCGTCCTCGTGTTCCAGGTAGCTGGGGGATCAAGGAAGGTCAGCTGAACTGGCTGCCGTGCCCAGGGTGGGAAGGATGATGCCTCTGTGACAGGGTGTTCATAAATGTGGAAGTTGGTAAAATTTTCTTAGGAGTGAGGTCTTGGACTTGGAGGGGAAGTTACGAGCCTCTGATGGATGCCTCACCCTGTAGAGAAGTGTTCTCTCACCCCTCCATTGGCCTGTGTGACCTCCTCGCTGTCATGGAGCCAACGGCCCAGGGCCACACACACCCCCCACACACACTGCTGTGGAGATAGAGGGCACAGAGCCCAGAGTTGCCATGTTTAAGTCTCATCAGGTTGTTTTTAGTGTGTTCACAGAACTGTGCAGCCACACTATCAGCTAAGTCCAGAACATTCCATCACCTCCTCCCAAAAACACTGTTCCGTTAGGCACTCGCAGCCACAGCCCTGGCAGCCGTGCACTCCATCCTGCCTCTGTGGACTTGCCTGTAGGTGGAAGGTGATGGTATGGGGCCTTCTGTGTCTGGGCCCCTTCCCTCAGCACCGTATGTTCAGGGCCATCAGTGTTCCTTGTGCCAGCACTTCATTCCTCTTCAAGGCTAAAGGGTTTGCTATGTTCTGTTGTGGTTTTTTTTTTTAACATCCTTGAAGGAAAAACATTGCTTATCTGCTTTCCCCTCTTAAGTTTGCAGAAAAAAGTAAATGTTAATGACAGTCCAGAGCAGAAGATTAAACGCTGGAAACCTGTTTGCATAGCGTCAGACTCAGAGAAGCTGTGACAACAGTACAGAGAACCCCTGCTTACCCTTCACCCTGAGGCCCCTGCTGAAGTGTCAGTAGTTGCCGAGTGATGCTGTTTACAGCAAAGGGTTCTGGGCCAGGGCCAGGCACTGCCCGCAGACATCCCATCTTTCTAACCTGTCTCCATCTGGAGCAGTTCTTCATTCCATCCTGGGTTTTCATGACTGACAGTTGGAAGATGATGGGCCAGTCATTCTACAGACTGTCGCTCACTGTGGGTTGGCCCAGCCCTTTCTCATGAGCAGCCCTTCAGATAAGCTTCTCTGGCAGGTCAGTCACAGAGTGAGGCTGTGTCCCTATGACCAGTCACAGAACAGTGCTGTGTCCTTGTGGCCTCAGCTGTCAGAGGAGGTGGTTCTGGCCCAGGACTCTGGTGGTCAGTTTGATCACTTGGTCAAGATGGCACTTGCCAGCCTTCTTTGCCACCATGTCTCTGTTTGTATTTTGTCACTGACAAGTACTTGTGGAAAGACATTTTGGGACCCTGTCACTCTCCTGGTCCTCAACCACAAGTGGGAACCATGGTGGCTGCCCAGTGATGGTTTGCTGCTGGGAGGTAGAGTTTTTGCCCCTCCATTTTTGTCAGCATGGACATGTGGATTCATATTATAGTTGTGTTCTAATTCAAATTATAGCAGTTTACATGAAAATCTGATGTTTCTAATCTTTCCTTATCATTATTTATTTTCATCTTTCTATTGTTTGGGATTTGGCCACTGGGAGTCCCTTCAGAGCAGCTCCTGTGTTCCCTTGGCGTGGCCCACACCCTTGGAGCACGTCTTCCTTCCCCACAGGGAAGCTCCATCTCATCTGGTGCCGGTCTGCTCCATCTGGAATCAGCCAGTTTTCAAAACCCTGCTCCTTACAGTGCAGAGCAGCATTTGGAAACTGGGACTATACACCAGACACACCCAGTGCTTTCTGAGGCCACTGCTCCCAGGCTTTCCTGACAAAGCTGCACATGTGCGCACACACCCACATTGCTTGCTGTGTCTGTCTGTGCTGCAAGCATATGCACCATGAGCTCAGCTGCAGTCCAGTACCACAGGGCACATTCCCCAAGGCTGGCGCCCTCTCCTCAGTGGGAAGCCCAGCTCTCACCCCAGCCCTGCCTAGCCCCCTCCCAGCAGGTGTGGCCCCAAACAGTTTGTGATACGAACACTGATAAATGTAATCTATAAGAAAGCTTTACCTAAATATCAAATTACCTTCTAAAACAGATAAATTAGTGATTTTAATCTTTACATTGATATAATTCTAACATGTCTGGTGGGTAACAGAGTTTGCTTCAAGGGATGTAATTCAGGTGTGACCTGTCACATGAGAAACTTCAGTATGTGCTTAGATTACAAATGTGTTATGAAGCACTTGTCTCCTCAATTTCAGGGCACCACCAAAATTAATACTTTCAACTGGTCCAAGGTCCGTAAACTAAGCTTCAAGAGGAAACGATTTCTTATTAAACTCCACCCAGAGGTATGTGTGAGTATGACTTGGAACATTTTTTAAATTATAAGGGAATTTGTTCTGCTAGAAAATTGAGTGTTTGACTCACGGCATGAATCATTTCAACATAAGGCAAACAAGGACTTTAAGGACAGGATTTGGGATTTGGGTCTGAAAGTTTCTGAGAGTACATCAGAACCACTTGGAGGCTTCTCCCAACACCTGGAGTTTGGACTCAGTAAGTCTCAAAGGGGTTGCCCAAGGAGCTGCCTATCTAACAAGTCCCCAGTGGGCTGAGAGCCACTGACTTCACTGTTTTCTGAGCCCCAAAGCTCAAGTGTGAGGTATTCACTTGTCAGCCAGAGCCCTACAGTGAGTGCGCGTAGGAGCTCGCATCCATTCAGCTGAGGAGTGGGTCCAGCACTCACACACGTCTCTGACTAAGAAACTGATCTTCCAGTAACTCTGAAGAATCATTGATAGTTGGAAATATGGCCTTGGTGATAGAAATGACACCAGAGATTGCATGATAGAATTTCGTAAGACCAACAACTTACTCATTGCCAGTACCATTTTTCAACAACATAAATGGTGGCTGTACATGTACACTGCACAGATGGAATACACAGCAATCATATCAACTGCATCTGTGGAAAGAGGCATTAGAAAAGCTCAATATCATTAGTAAGAACAAAGCCAGGAGAGGACTGTGCAACAGACCATCTACTGCTCATATGCAAGTTCAAGTTGAAGCTGAAGAAAATTAAAATAAGTCCATGAGAGCCAAAATACAAACTTGATTATATCCCACCTCAATTTAGAGACCATCTGAAGAATATATTTGATGCATTAAACACCAGTGACCAAAGACCAGACAAGTTGTGGGGTGACATCAAGAACATCGTACATGAAGTGAGAAAAAGGCCATTAAAAAGACAGGAAAGGAATAAGAGCCTCTGAAACTTGATCTTGAATGTAGAGTAGCTAGAGCAAATGGAAGAAATGATGAAATAAAAGACTTGAAGAGATTTTTAAAGGATGGTCTGAAAGGCACAGTAAAGTATTGCAATGAAATATTCAAAGACCTGGACTTAGAAAACCAAAAAGGAAGAACATGCTTGGCATTTCTCAAGCTGAAAGAACTGAAGAAAATATTCAGCTTTGAGTTGCAATATTGAAGGATTCTATGGGCAAGATATTCAATAATGCAGAAAGCAACAAAAGAAGATGGAAAGAATACAGAGTCACTATCGAAAAGAATTGGTTGATGTTCAGCTATTTCAGGAAGTAGCATATGATCAAGAATCAATAGTACTGAAGGAAAAGTCCAAGCTTCACTGAAGAAATTGGTGAAAAACAGGGCTGCAGGAATTGATGGAATACCCACTGAGATGTTTCAACAAACAGATGCAGCACTGGAGGCACATACTTGTTTATGCCAAGAAATTTGGAAAACAGCCAACTGATTGGAAAAGATCTATATTGGTGCCCATTCCAAAGAAAGGTGATCCCACAGAATGTGGAAATTATTGAACAGTATCGTTAGTACCACATACAAATAAAATCTTGCTGAGGATAATTCAAAAATGGTTGCAGCTGTATATTGACAGGGAACTTCCAGAAATATGATCTGGATTTAGAAGAGGATGTGGAATAAGGTATATCAGATGTCAGATGGATCTTGGCTGAAAGCAAAGAATACCAGGAAGATGTTTACCTGTGTTTTATTGACTATGCAAAAGCATTTGATTGTGTGGATCATAACAAATTATGGATAATACAGAGAAGAATGGGAATTACAGAACAAGGGGATACTGCATGGTTTAATATCAGGAAAAGTGTGTGTCATGGTTGTATCCTTTCACCATACTTATTTGATCTGTATGCTGAGCAAATAATCTGAGAAGCTGGACTATGTGAAGAAGAACATGGCATCAGGATTGGAGGATAATTAGTTAGTATCCTGCGATATGGAGATGACACAACCTTGCTTGTTGAAAGTGAGGATGACTTGAAACACTTACTGGCGAAGATCAAAAACTACAGTCTTCAGTATGGATTACACCTCAACATAAAGGAAATAAAAGTCCTCACAACTGGACCAATAAGCAACATCACAATAAGTGGAGAAAAGATTAAAGTTGTCTGGGATTTCATTTCATTTTACTTGGATCTACAGTCAACACTCATGAAAACAGCAGTCAAGAAATCAGACATCATCTTACACTGGACAAATCTGCAAAAAGCCACTTTAAAGTGTTAAGGAACACTGATGTCTCCTTGAGAACTAAGGTGTGCCTGACACAAGCCAGTGGTATTTTCAATCACCTCATATGCATGTGAAAGCTGGACAATGAATAAGGATGACTGAAGAAGAGTTGATGCCTTTGAACTGTGGTGTTGGTGAAGAATACTGAAACTACCATGGACTGCTAGGAGAAGGAACAAATCTGTCCTGGAAGAAGTGCAGCTGGAATGCTCCTCAGAGGTGAGAATGGCCAGACTTTGTCTCTAATACTTTAGTCATGTTGTCAGAAGGGACCATTCCCTGGAGAAAGATACCATGCTTGGTAAAGTGGAGGGTTGGTGAAAAAAGGGGAGACCCTCAACGAAATGTATCGATACAGTGGATGCAACGATGAGCTCAAGTATAGCAGGGATTGTGAGGCTGGCATAGGACCGGGCAGTGTTTCGTTGTGTTGTAGATAGGGTCACTGTGAGTCGGAGCCAATTCAACGGCACCTAATGACAACAGCAAGTTAAAGAGGCCTTCCTCATCAGAAACTAAACATTCCTTTCTTTTGAGGAAAAAGCCCTGGTGGCACAGTGATTAAGCACTTGGCTGCCAACCATAAGGTCAGCGGTTTGAACCCACCAACTGTTCCTTGGGATAAAGATGAGACAATCTACCTCTGCAAGGATGACAGCCTTGGAAATCCTATGGGGCAGTTCTACTCTGTACTGTAGGAACACTATGGGTTAGAATCGACTCAACAGTTTCTTTTGAGATTGTTAGTGCCAGGGTGGCACAAACGATTAAGTGTTCAACTACCAGCCAAAAGGTTGGTGGTTCAAACCCACCCAGAGGCCCCTTGGAAGACGAGCCTGGCAGTCTGCTTCCAAAAGGTCACAGTCTTAAAAACCCTATGAGGCAGTTCTAACCTGCACACACGGAGTCGCCATGAGTCAAAAATGACTGAATGACAAGTAACAATAGCAACAAAGTAAGAATTGTGCGTGGATTTACTGAAATGAGAAGTACAAAAGGATATGTTTGTGTAGTCTGATGTTGTTGTTGTTGTGTGCCATCAAGTCAAACCCGACTCATAGCGACCCCTCCTTGGGTTTCCAAGGCAGTATCACTACAGAAGTAGGATTGCCCAACCTTCCTTCCGAGGAGTGGCTGGTGGGTTTGAACCGCCAGCCGTCTGGTTAGCAGGCAAGTGTCTTAGCCACTATGCTACCAGAGCTCCCGTGTAGTCTGATAGTTGGAGCAAATCCAGTACTTGATACTGCTCAAAGAGGTTCAGTTGTTACATGTCCACTTTACAGAGTAAGGAAGAATGACGACTAGGCCAGCTCAGCCACCACAGGGCTGACTCTTAAGTGAGGGCTGTCCGTGTGTTGGCTTGGACGTGCCTTGGGTCCTGGCGATTTAGAACCTGAGGTTAATCTGCAGAGGCAGGCTTTTCTCTGGCTTGTTGGTAGTGCCTGACTGGCAAGGGCTTTTGTCAAACACCAGGGCCATGTGCTCAACTTAAGCGTACCTACTGCTGGTAGACGGGGGCTGGACAGCTTGGCTTGTTTATTATTCAAGTATCTCTTCTATGGAGGTAAGAAAGGGGCGTAAAACACTAATATATATGTATGTATGTTATTGTTGCTATATACTGTCGAGTCGGACCCGACTCATAGCGATCACTCCTTGGGTTTCCAAGGCGGTATCCTTGCAGAAGTAGATTGCCCAACCTTCCTTCCGAGCAGTGGCTGCTGGGTTTGAACTGCCAGCCTTCTTGTTAGCGGTCAAGTGCCTTAGCCACTTCACTACCAGAGCGCCTATACACACACACACACACACACATACATGTATATGTAGATAATGCAGGTACAAAGCTGCTTTTTTGCCTGTAAGTGAAAAATGTTTGCTGCAGTTCTTCGGAGAAGAGAGGTAAGAAGAGAGTTTCTGCGGAGTTCACCAAAGCAGCTGTCACTGGGATAATAGTGTCGCATCCCAGAACTCAGAGCGGTGTCTGCTTTGCACATGACAGCTACACTTGATACCCTTGACACTTAGATTATAAGAAGAAATGTGGGAGGCACAGTCTGAGCTGTTTTCTGAATTTACTTTCTCTCGTCCAGTACTTTATTCTTGAATTACTTAAGCTTTTGTGTTCTATTCTAGGGACCTTACCAGGACACATTAGAGTTTGTGTTGGGCAGTAGAGACGAATGTAAGAATTTCTGGAAGATCTGTGTGGAGTATCACACCTTCTTTAGACTCTTTGATCAGCCTCAGCCCAAAGCTAAAGCTGTCTTCTTCAGCCGAGGCTCCTCCTTCAGATACAGGTAGGGTGGCTCCAGATGCACACTGGACCTCTCACTAGTGTGTCACTAGTGAGTGGCATGGAGAAGAGGATGCCCGTAGTTCGAGAAGAGTGTTGGAAGTCATGTCAGAGAACTTGATATGTAACGTAGCTGTTGTGGAATATAATAACTGAGAAGTAGCAAAGAAAATAGTAAAAATATGGCTTCCTGAAAGCCTTGTGCACACTGACCAACTGGTTATGCTTATTCAGAGCGTAGTTGTAAATGTGTGTGTGCTGTACATATGTATGCTTGTCTGTGTGTATGTCTTTACGTGTGTGTGTGTCTGTGTGTGTGTATGAGCATTTGTATGTATGTACATATATTAGTATTTGTATATGGGTATATGTTTGTAAAGGAGCTCTGGTGGTACAGTGCCTAAGGCATTTGACTGCTAACCAGGAGGTTGGTGGTTCAAACCCACCAGCTACTCTGTGAAAATAAGATGGGGCGATCTACTTCCGTGAAGATTTACTGCCTCGGAAACCCAAAGGGGTCGCTGTGAGTCAGAATCAACTCGATGGCAGTGAGTTTATTTTTTTTTATATGTTTGTATGTATATATATGAATGTACATATGTTTGTCTGTGTATATATATATGTGTGTGTGTGTATATATATATTTCTATGTACATAGGTTTGTATGTATGTATGTGTTTGTATGTATGTGTTTGTATGTATTATGAGCATTGGTGTTTATTTATATATATTTATATGTATGTTTGTATGTAGGTATGTTTGTGTACTGGTGGCATAGCCTTCATCCTCACAGCAACATGCAAACCATCACAGTACAATAAACTGACAGGCAAGTAGTAGAGGGAAAATAAAAAACGGTTGGAAACAAAGAAGAATCACCAGTAATTGGAAAATATGACCTTGGTGATAGAAATGATGTCAGAGATGGCATATAGAATTTTGCAAGACCAACGACATATTCATTGCAAACACCTTTTTTGATATATTGTTGGAGTCTGTTTGCTAGGATATTGTTGAAGATTTTTTGCATCTGTACTCATGAGGGATATTGGTCTGCAGTTTTCCTTTTTAGTGGTATCTTTGCCTGGTTTTGGTATCAAGTTTATGCTTGCTTCATAAAATGAATTTTGGAAGATTCCATCCTTTTCTATGTTCTGGAATAGTTTGAGTAGGATTGGTGTCAGCTCTTCTCTGAACATTTGGTAGAATTCTCTGGTGAAACCATCTGGGCCAGGACTTTTTTTGTTGGTAATTTTTTTATGACCTGTTCGATTTCTTCTTTTGTTACGGGTCTGTTCAACTTTTCCACCTCAGTCTGTGTTAGTTTAGATAAGTAGTATGTTTCTAGAAATCTATCCATTTCTTCTAGATTTTCAAATTTGTTGGAGCACAGTTCTTCATAGTATCCTGATACTGTCTTTTACATCTCAGTTGGTCCTGTTTTGATGTCACCCAATTCATTTCTTATTTGTGTTATTTGTATTCTCTCCCTCTTTTCCTTTGTTAAATTGCAAACATCTTTTTTCAGCAACATGAATGGTGGCTATACACATGGATTTCACCAGATGAAATACACAGGAATCAGATAGACTACATCTGTGGAAAGAGGCAATGGAGAAGCTCAGTATCTTCAGCCCAAAACAAGGCCAGGAGCTGACTGTGGAATAGACCGTCAACTGCTCATATACAAGTTCAAGTTGAAGCTGAAGACAATTAAAACAAGTCCATGAGAGCCCAAATTGATTCTATCCCTCCTGAATTTAGAGACCATCTAAAGAATAGACTTGATGCACTGAACACCAATGACCAAAAAACAGACAAATTGTGGGATGACATCAAGAACATTACACATGAAGAAAGCAAAAGATCATTAAAAAGGAAAGGAAGAAAAGACCAAAATGGATGTTAGGAGACTCTGAAACTTGCTCTTGAATGGAGAGCAGCTAAAGCAAATGGAAGAAATGACAAGAGGAAAAAGCTGAACAGAAGAGTTCAAAAAGCAGCTCGAGAGGACAAAGTCAGTTATTACAATGAAATGTGTGCAGACCTGGAGTTAGAAAACCAAAAGGGAAAAATGCACTTGGCATTTCTCAAGCTGAAAGAACTGAGGAAAAAATTCAAGCCTTGAGTTTCAATATTGAAAGATTCTATGGGCAAAATATTGAATGATGCAGGAAACATCAAAACAAGATGGAAGGAGTACACAGTCATTGTACCAAAAAGAACTGGTCGATGTTCATCCATTTCAGAAGGTGGCATATGATGAAGAACCAATGGTATTGAAGGAAGAAGTCGAAGCTGCACTGAAGAAATAGGCAAAGAAAAGGCTCCAGGAATTGACGGAATATCCATTGAGATGTTTCAACAGACACATGTCGCACTGGAGGCACTTACTCATCTATGCCAAGAAATTTGGAAGACAGCTACCTGGCCAGCTACCTGGATAAGATCCATATTTTTACCCATTCCAAAGAATGTGAAAATTATCAAACAATATCATTAATATCACATGCAAGTAAAATCTTGCTGAAGATAATTCAAAAATGGTTGCAGCAGTATAAAGACAGGGAAGTTCCAGAGGTGCAAGCTGGATTAAGAAGAGGATGTGGGAGGAGGGGTATCATTGCTGATGTCAGATGGATCTTGGCTGAAAGCAAAGAATACCAGAAAGATGTTTACTGATGTTTCATTGACTATGCAAAGGCATTCAACTGTGTGGATCATAACAAATTATAGATAACATTGAGAAGAATAAGAATTTCAGAACACTTAATTGTGCTCATGAGGAACCTGTACATAGACCAGGAGGCTGTCATCTGAGCACAATAAGGGGATACCGCATGGTTGAAAATCAGGAAGGGAGTTCGTCAGGATTGGTATCCTCTCACCATACTTACTTCATCTGTACGCTGAGCAAGTAATCCAAGAAGCTGGATTATATGAAGAAGAATCAGGATTGGAGGAAGGGTCATTAACAACCTGCTATATGCCAACCACACAACCTTGCTTGCTAAAAGTAAAGATGACTTGAAGCGCTTACTGATGAAGATTAAAGGCTACAGTCCACAGTATGGATTACACCTCAATATAAAGAAAATGAAAATCCTCACAAATGAACCAATACGCAGCATCATGATAAATGGAGAAAAGATTGAAGTTGTCAAAGATTTCCTATTACTTGGTTCCATAGTCAACACCAATGGAAGCAGCAATCAACAAATCATACATTGTATTGCACTGGGCATATCTGCTGCAAGAGATCTCTTTAAAGTGTTGAAGAGCAAAGATGTCTCTTTGAAGACTAAGGGATGCCTAACCCAACCCATGGTATTTTCAGTCACCTTATATGCATGTGAAAGCTGGATAATGAATAAGGAAGACCAAGAAGGGTTGATGGTTTTCAATTGTGTTGGGGATGAATACTGAAAGTACCATGGACTGCTAGAGGAACAAGCAAATCTGTCCAGAAGGAAGTGCAGCCAGAATGCTCCTTGGAAGTGAGAATGGCCAGACTTCATCTCACCTACTTTGGTCATGTGGTCAGAAGGGACCATTCCCTGGAGAAAGATGTTGTGTTTGGTAAGGTGGAGGGTCAACTAAAGAGAGGAAAGCCCTCAACGAGATGGATTGACACAGTGGCTACAACAGTAGGCTCAGGTATAGCAAGAATTGTGAGGCTGGCGGAGGACCAGGCAGTGTTTCGTTCTGTTGTACATAGGGTCACTATGACAGCACCTAACAACATGTTTGTGTATGGGTATATATGGATATATGTATGGATGTATGGATGTACTAACATACATTCATACATACATGTATGTATGAATATATGTATGTTAGTATCTATATTAGTGTATATGTTTGTATGTATATGTATGAATATGTGTATATATGTGTATTTGTATGTATGTATTATATGTGTGTATGCATGTTTAAATGTATGAATGCTGGTATTATGTATGTCTGTGTATGTTTATAGGTTTATACGTGTGTTTATGAGAGATTCACTCATCTTCCTTTTCTTGAATTGTAGGGAATTAATTCTTGGGTTACTGTTAACTTCGTTTTTAAAATCTTAACCTTTATTCACAGTGGAAGAACTCAAAAACAGCTAGTAGATTATGTTAGAGACAGTGGGATGAAGAAGAGTCCGTATGAAAGGTAAGCTCTCTTGTCCTTGTGATACAAGTATGTGTTTTTACATGAATATTTTCAATATTTTTAACCTATACTGGAATAAACATCCTTTCAAATATGTAAGTATGCAGTTTGACACTTGAATTGTGTTTATTTTTCCAGAGAGAATGGATTTGTAACATCCTTTCAGATACTTCTTTTAGTTTCTAGAGAGTATATAGTTTATAATGTGGTTAGCTTTTTATCCGAGAATGTATGTTGTTTCTTGGCAGGTCAACATTTTCCTTCAGTGTAGTTAGATAAGTTTAGCTCTCCTGGAACATAAATTTTTTATTTTACTTGTTTTTTTCCATTTTCCTCTCCATTTCTAGTTAGACACTTGATAACATGGTATCACAGTAACTGGTCACTTCTAAGGTCCCTGGGTGGTACTGAGGATCTGCACCTGGCTAATAACCCAAAGGTTGGCTGTTCAAACCCACCCAGAGGCACCGCAAAAGAGCCAGGCCTGGTGAGTGGCTCCCATAAGATTACAGGCAACTGAGCTCTGGAGCCTACGGAGTCTCTCCATATGAATCCACAGACACACACCTGAGAGCAATCAGTCACTGTCTTGTCACATTTGTACGTGGGTTTTTCTCAACAGACACAGTATGTGGTCTTTAAGTCTGGCTGTTAGGAAGAGGAGGGCTTGGTAGCTCATGGCTTATTCTCTCTTTTACAGAAGGCACAGCAAGACGCGGCTGTCCATCCGAGCTCTGACTGTAGACGTGCCCACGCAGGTCAGTCCTTTTCTGCTCAGACACAGAGACAGTGTGACTATTGTGGCATCTTCTAATAGGGCCACTGGTGATGATGGCTAGTTAATTACTAATTGGTTTTTCCCTGGACTCTTCATCAGTGTTGGATTTTCTTCTTTAACGTCTTTTCCATTCATTTGCTGGTAGGTGGCATAGAATTTTTCTTTTAACTTTGTTTTTAGTCACCTGCACTCCTTTGGAAAACAATCTAGTGTTGTTATCACAAACCAAAAAACCTGCTGCCGAGGAGTCAATTTCAACTCATAGCAACCCTATTGGACAGAGAAGAGCTGCCTAGGGTTTCCAAGGCTGTCATCTTTACAGAAGCAGACTACCTCATGTTCCCCCCACAGAGCAGCTGGTGGGTTCAAACAGCCAAGCGTTTAACCACTGTGCCACCAGGGCTCCTTAATGTTTTCACAAGAGCCTTAAAACTTATCCCATGTTTGAATGTGGCAGCTCTGTTTCTGGGACTCCATTTTCAGAAAGGAGTCCTAAATAAAGAGAACTCTCACACCTTGGGACATGCGCCACGGTGTTATCTGTGCTGCTAAAGTCCCTCCATGGCCTCCATGTGTGGGCGCTGGCCCAGCAGCTGCACTGGGGTCTGTCCACCTGAGGGACTAGGATCAAGCCTTCAAATCTGGTGTTTGTAGGATGTTTAGTGGCCAGGAAATGCTCCACACACAGTGTGAAGGGAACCAGGCAGGTCACAGCAGCCTCACGTGATGGGAACCTCATTGTGATTTAACAACAAGGAGACGTGGGTAAGAAAGGCTGGAGCAGTGGAGTCCCCAGTGCTGCCATGCATCAGCTCAGAGTGACAGCGTGCAGAGCATGATTTCCCTTTGTGAGCTCTCATGCTTTCGTTTTCTGCAGTGAACACACACTGCTGCTTGTTACAGAAAAACAGCCGAGTGGACACTACTTTTATAAAAGCTAGGACAGTGTTCACTGCCGAGCCGAGGAGAGGTTTTCATTTTGTGGGTCTCAGCGACATTCAAAGCACTGCTATGGAGAGTGTGTGCTGCTGGGAAACCCGTGATCTCACGTTAGGGAAAGCAGAAACAGATTCCTGTGTACGTGTGCACTCGTCTTAGGGAAAGCATGAACTGATTCCTACACATACGTGTTTGGGCTGACTATAGCTGCACTAAAACAATGGCACGCACAGATGGTTCACAGGGATCATGCCAGAATACGCTGGCAGCAGTGACTTCATACTTCACGTCGGCTCCAGAATGACCCCTCCTGTCTCTGTCGGCTTACTCACTTCCACATGCAAGTGTGTCTTCACGTGGGCCTTGCTGTTTCTGCGTAGCACTGCATCATAACTGCCGCCTGGTGCTTCTATGTAGTCGTCCCTACACAGAAGCTGCCCCTGTGCCTCTCCTATTAAAGCTCACATGTCCCCAAACTCTCTTTGCTCCTTGGGATTTTTGAATGAAACATTCTGTAGCTTTTCTGGGTGTGTATCTACATAGGAACCCTTGTTAAATTAATGAAAATTTATTCTTTTTATTATTATTATTGTGATTTGGGTGAAGGTTTACAGAGCAAATTGACTTTCCATACAGCAGTTCACATATACTTTGTCTCATGTCATTGACCACAGTTTACCACAATGCAACAGCTCCCCTCCCACTTCCTCCCCATAGTTACCTCTTCCCAGTGTCCATCCCTCCATGGACTCCTGCCCCCTGAGCTGTCTCCCTGTGCATAGGCAGCCCTTCTTTCTCAGTGATTGTTCTCTCCAAGGAGTGTATATACCTCAGGTAAATGTTCAACTCATATGCCTGTCTTCTGTTTGGCTGGAAACCACAGGTGTGGGTTCAATTACAGACCTGAAGGGCAGCTAGGGGCCATAGTCTCAGTGGTTCCACCAGGCTCTGTCAGACAAGTGAAAATATATTCTTGATTGTTCCTTTTTTAAAGTCCAAATTTGACAGCAAAGTATTTTGAAAGCCATAAGGGAATATTGAGTATGATTGAATGATTAACAAAGGGTGATACCATAAACCTTTGAAAATAGATGAACCTTATGGACTGTGAAGGCTAGGCACTGTGCCTTTGCTGCAGGTCACACTGTCCCCTGCACGGTGTTGGCCGGTGCTATTTGGTTACTTTGGGGTCTGACAACCCTCTCACTTGTGTGGCATGTATAAGTGTGTGAGACCTTCTCAACATGTGACCCACAGTGACCCGAAAGGACTCGGCCATGTTCCGCATCAGGATCATGAGTTGGGGACGGGGTGGCAGGGAGCCCATAGGTAGTGAATGTATGGCACTGGCCACGGAGCTTTGCCCTATTCACTGCCACCTCCATTCTTTTCTGATGCTTCTTGCCCTTCTCATTCACATTTGGGGTACCTGGTATGTTAAATGCACTGAGTGACAGGGACCTTGCAGCCTGTGGCCTCGCCTTCCCATTGATGTGTTGGTCACATGTACTCACAATGACCCTTGATAGACACGCTCCCAGCCATGAGTGCCAAGCTGTAGCCCTGACCCAGCACATGGGCCCTGCAGTTCATGGGCCCATGGCAAGTGGACTCTCACTCTCTCTACCTATACTCTGCCTTGCACCCTTAGAAAATGACAGACTCCCAGTATGGTGTGCTGCAGGTGGTCCAGCTCATCCCATGAGGGTGGTCATCACCATGGGGAACTTGATGCTGTGAGAGAGTATAGTCATAAGGGGTCCTCACACAGGTGGGACAGGCAGGCTCTGTCTTCACACAGGAAAACCAGGCAGGCTCAGGGTCCTCACGTGGGTGGGACAGGTGGGCTCAGGGTCCTCATGCCGTTGGGATGGGCTGGCTTAGTCTACACTCAGGCAAGCCAGGCAGGATTGGAGTCCTGACGCGGGCAGGGCGGGCAGGCTCGGGGTCCTCACGTGGGCAGGATGGGTAGGCTCGGGGGTCCTCGTGTGGGCTCAGGGGTCCTCACATGGGCTGGATGGGTAGACTTGGGGTCCTCAAGCAGGGAGGACGGGCAGTCTTAGTCCACACACGGGCAAGCCAGGCCAGCAGGGGTCCTCACACATGAGGGATGGGCAGGCTCAGGGTCGTCACATGGGCTGGATGAGTGGGCTTGGGGTCCTCACGTAGTTGGGACAGGTGGGTTGCAGGGGTCCTTCCACTCACAGATCTGGTCCCATGGCCTTTAGGTCAAAGCTGTGATGGAAACACATGGCTCCTATGACGGGTGGTACCACTGGCTTTGCAGCTTCCTGTGGTAATTTGTAATCTTACACGTTCGTTTTTCTCTCCTTACTCTTGATCCTCCAGAGCACCTCACTCACCGAGGGTTTGAGGACTTCTTCTTCCCTGTCTCCAGCCAGTGCCTCCTTCTCTTCAGTGCCTACCTCCCCTGCGGCCCCGACCAGCCTGCCCGATTCTAAAGACAGCAGCTGTGCCCTTTCGGAACCCCGCGTGCTCCTTGCCAAGAGTGGGGCCTCGGAGAGGAGCAGTGGAGCCTCGCCTGGAGGCCCTGACATGGCCTGGCCACCTGGGCCTCCAGCCCCTCAGGCCTGCCCAGGTGCTGGCTTCTATAGTGACAGGAGAAGTTGTAGTCCCACTGGGCTGGTAGGGCCCGGTAGCGGGACCTCAGACCCAGACACAGGGAAGGCTGGCAGGGAGCACACAGGTGCTGGTTGTCATGACCATGGGGATGACAGCCTTGCCCTGGGAACAGGCACACTCCCTTCTAACGGGCAGTGTTGGCACAGTCGGCCAGGCGGTCGGGGGGCCCCTCTTTTCACACTGACAAACCCCCAGCTGCAGGTGTCCGAGGAGTTCATAGATGATGACCCAGGCGAGATCTCGTTCTTTGCCGGAGGCTTGGAGGCGTTCTCTTGCCTGTATGGCTCACTAGCCCTGCAGGACGCCCGGGCACCTGCCCTGCCCCCTGCATCCCCATCCTTGGGCGGCACAGGCACCCACCCACACCTGGGTTCCCTGCAGTCCAGTCCAGACAGGTACTCCACTGAGGCGGTTGACATGGCTGTGGATGACGAGTTTGAGTTTGATGAAGAAGGTGGCTGCCCTGGTGACGCACGCCCCTCAGACACCTGTGAGTTGTTGGAGGTGAAAGCCCAGGCCAGCCTGATGCAGAGCCTGCTGAACGCCTCCGAGACAAGCTCCCTGCGCAACAACCAGTCCGAGAGCAGCTCTCTCAGCAACACGCCACTGACCTGCACGCTGGCCAGCCAATCCGCAGCCAGCTCCCTGGTCAACTTCCCTGCCTGCTCGGTCCGCTCTGAGTGCAGCTCAGCCTTCCAGTTCTCAGACATCCTCGACCAGCTGGAGCAGCTCAGCTACCCACCCACAGCCACCGAGGCCTCCAGCAGCTCAGACATGGACTCCTGGGACTCAGAGGCTGATGTACCCCTGGACACCAGCCTGTTCTTCAGCTGCCCATCTGCACAGGCTCCTGGGGAGAGGCTCACTTTTGATCTGCAGAGTAGTTTAAAGATCGCAACTCCAGACCCCTACTGACCAGGCCACCCACCCACCCACCCACCTGCTCAGGGTAGTCGGCACCCAGGGCTCCTGAGATTTAGGCATCAAGACTGATCCTATGTTAATGGCTAGATCACCAGCTCTTTTTAATTCCCTGATTTGTTAGACTTTTTTGAACATCAAAGAAAACTTTCACTATTAATGATGCTGAAAGCTACGGACTAAGGTTAAAACAGATGAGTTTTTCCAGCGAGCCCTCGTGGAGGGCTGACGACTTATCTGTAGCTTCAGACTCCTGGCTTCTGCTTTGACTCAAGCGAGAACTGGCACTCTGCGTCATGAATGTTAAACACTCCGCTCCCGTGGCTCTTCAGCAGCCTCTGCAGAGGCAGCCTCGGCAGCACTGCTTGGTGTGATACGGTGTGCCGCCCATAGCCTGCCTCTGACCTCCGCACTGTGGTGCCGAGTCACGGCCCTGAGCCTCGGCAGCCAGGCCAGGCGTGCAGCTGGGACTTGGGGCCTGCAGCCCACTTGTGCTCTGGAGAGGTGTGGTCTGCAGGGCACTCAGGGACCTTGCGTGGAGTGGAGTCTGTTTCCACTGGAGTAGACTTGGTGTGGTTGCAGGAGAGGCGGAACCTGACACCCAGATCTGCTTGAGGGTTGTTGTGAGCCAGCACCAGGTTGTCACCTCTAGATGGAAACTCACTTGTGGATTAAACAGTCAGCACCCTGAGCGCCCCAAATGCAGGAGCAGCTGGGCTCTTTGGTAACGTGTGTCAGAGCAGAGCCAGTCGGTGCCAACTCCTAGTGCCCCCATGTGTGTCACAGCAGAGCCAGTTGGTGCTGACTCCCAGCCGCCCCCACACGTGTCAGAGCAGAACCAGTCAGTGCCAACTCCCAGTGCCCCACCCCACACACGCACAGCACAGCAGAGCCAGTCGGTGCTGACCCCCACCAAGCGCATCAGAGCCGAATGACGCTCCAGGGTTTTTGGCGCCTAATTTTTCAGAAGTAGGTTGCCAGGCCTTTCTTCCACGGGGGCTCTTCAGGTGCAGGTGGTTAGTGGCACAGAACTGGGGCCCCCACTGATAGGCATTCGTAACTGGTTGTCTGACTGCAGTCCGGATGTTCAGAGTAGTGTGACCTGCAGGGGACACAGTGCCCTCATGCCACAGCCTTGGGCATCCCACCCAGTGTCACTCCTGGGTCATACAGAGATGTAAGGGCCCCACAGGGCACCCATGTAGAAGGCAGTTGTCTAACCTACTGTTGAAAGTCAGCTCAGATCCCTGGTGCAGGCTGAGCACTTCAGGACAAGCTTGTGTGGCTGTGTGCCATGCCGTCAAACCCACCATGGCCCTCTAAGAGGACTGGCACATAGTGGGCTGCCAGGTGCCGGTGAAACTTGCTAACTCCAATAGATGGGTTTGATGTTTGGTTTGTTTTTGTTTTCTAGTCGTTTCTGGTCTTTTCTAGTAGAGCAATTCCATTTGTAAAGGTTCTTCTTCCCAGGATGCTCAGTGGCAACACTGAGGACCACATCTGCCTGCACGCATGAGCAGATTCACCCTTTGCCTGAGTGGAATGATGGCATTTGAGCAGATGGACCTGGCCAGAAGTGTCCTATGAACCCAGTCGGTCTTTTCTTTTTCCATTAGTGTTGATTGAATACTAGCAGGTGTTTGTGGCCAAATCTTATGAGTGATCTTCCGGTTTCGTAGGAACCTTGGCCCTGAGCCATGGTTTCATCCTTTGCCTGGTCCTTGGAGCCAGAGAACAGAGCACTTCTCACCTTTTGTTCTGTCCTTTACTGTCATGCTGGCATTCATCACACTGAGGCAGTGGGTGAGGTTCCATGTGGCCCGCTTGCCACCACAGGAGGAAGCATCAGTGTGAGAGGAGAGCTGGCAGGAGCGCAGCACAGTTAGCAGCCACCAGCTGCAGCCAGACTGCCTCCTGGGTGACTCGCCGCACAAGGTGTCCTCCCAAGCCTCGGCATGCCCACTTTGAGGCCTCTTTCCTCACCAAGCACCTGTTTGCTGTGGTTGCCCTGTGAGTACCCTGCAGTGTTGGAAGGGTACCCAGCTGGGCAGCAGGTTGGACTTCGGCTGGGAGGCCTCTCCCTGTGCAGCTTCAGGAAGGGCGTCTGCTCTGGGCAGGGGGGGTCCTCTCCCTGCCTCTTGTGGGTACTCTGAGTGGATTCTGTCCTGATCTGTTTTCTACTTCCTGCTAAATCGTTTGTGGTTTTAACAAAGCCTCATTTTCTGCAGATGGCTGATCAGCTTTTTATTTAATAAGTTTTCAAACTCTGGTGGTGTAATGCCTAAGGCATTTGACTGCTAACCAGAAGGTTGGCAGTTCAAACCCACCAGCCATTCTTCAGAAGGAAGATTGGGCAATCCACTTCCGTAGTGATACTGCCTCGGAAACCCAAGGAAGGGTCGCTGTGAGTTGGCTTCGACTCGATGGCAGTGAGTTAGTGAGTTTTCAAACTACAGCAGACCAGTCCTGACCCGGTGTGCGTGCCATACCTGCTGGCCGGTCTCCCTTCTTCTTCCTCTCCTTGCTGCTCTGGTGTTCCAAGCAGATCTCAACCATTGACAGTGTTCCACACATGTCTCTGACACTTCAGGCCCTTCTCCTTTGTAAGCTCACAGTACCATCTTCATACAAGATGAACCATTGCGTGATGTCATCTAATACCCAGAGCATGTTCAGGTTTCCTCAGTTGTCTTCAAGTGTCTCTTGATATTCAGTTGTTGAAATCAGGATCCAAACAGTCTACTTGCCACACTTGACTGCTGTATCTCTTCAGTATACTTTTACTTGGAAGAGCCACACACACACGTGTGCACATGCACATGCATACATGCCCATGCACCCATGCCCACATACGCCCACACAAATACCCCACATGCACACCCATGCCCAAGCACACACTCTTGCAATGCCACAGGCTTGTCAGAAGGACTGCCCACCCACTCCCTGCATCTCAGCTGGTTGCTGCTGCTGTCTCCCACTGGTGCCCGCAGCTTCTGCCTGAACCAGAGCTGCGTGGAGCAGGACAGGGGCCACGGCTCAGGGCTGGCAGCTTCCACACAGGGCAGCACAGCTAGAGCACACCCAGCGTCGGAACACTTGGGCAGGCTCACAGATTGAGGTTTGACTTTCTTGTAAGGAGTGGGAGAACGCGTGAGCGGCGTTCCTTTTTAGAAAACATTGCTGATGTTCTTCAGAGTTCCATCTTTTCCTTCACAGTAAAAGAATTTGTTTAAAAGTCATTCTGTGGCCTTCTCTTGAGTTGCTGCACAAGGCCCCTGGGCCTTTCACCCTGTGGTTGACGTGGATCGCTGAGAGGCATTGGATTAGAAATAGGGGAGGGCAAGACACGGAGGCGTCAGGACAGAGACCGAACTCCCCAGTGTGAGTTACAGGTGTCTAGTTCCAGCAGTTAGCTTAGACAGCAAAATGGCTTTCTTTTCCCAGAATAAAAGGTGGTCTGATGTCTGCTAACCAGAAGGTTGTCAATTCAAACCCACCAATTACTCCAAAGGAGGAAGATGAAGCAGTCTACTTCCATAAAGACTTACAGCCGTGGAGACCCAGTGAGGTTGCTGTGAGTCAGAATCGACTCAATGCAGTGGGTTTGATTTGGGTGGTAAACGTCAGACCCCCAAGGCAGGTTAGCCGGAGGGGCACAGAGCCTCCAGCCAGCCTTCGGCCTGAGTGCTCTTTTACCCATCACTGCTTATCACTTTTGTCTTTTCAAAGTGCAGTGCTGATGCTCCTTAGAGTCCTGGTGTTACGTGGTGATGCCTTCATACCTCCCATACCTGACTGCAGCATGGGGCAGCCACTCAGCAAGCAGTGGAGTGTGACAAAGTGCGGGACCCTGCCGCAGCTCTCCCACAGAGGCCCTCAGCCAGAAGCTCAGTGGCAAGTACACTCCGAGCTGCTCCGTGAGCTCTCTGCTTCTATCCAGAGCCTGACGTGGTTGTCACGCCTGCTGTGGCCTCAGGCGGCACTACGCAGTGCTGTGAGGAGGCCGGAGTGGGAGAGGAGGTTCTGAGAAGGGGC